TGCTGGTTGCCTGGGGCTCAAAGTTGTGAACAAGTGTCTGCAGAATGGAACGACATGAAAAAACTCCTGACAGTTGTCACAATAATGTACACTTAAATTATTTCAAAATTAAATCAGTGAAAGCTGCTAAACTCATAAATAACTACACAAGAACATTACAGAACACTCAGCTTGATTTCTGATAAGAAAAAATACCTGTTTAGGGATTTACAAATTACCATGTCCCCCTTGTATGAAAGCTTTTATCAAAAGTTTTTGTTGGGGCTGGCGCCATGGCGCAGTAGGTTAATCCTCCACCTGCAGCGCTGGCATCCCATATGGGTGCTGGTTCTGTCCCAGTTGCTCCTCTTCCAGTCCAGCTCTCTGCCGTGGCCCGGGAGTACAGTGGAGGATGGCCCAAGTCCCTGGGTCTCTGCACCCACGTGGGAGACCCAGAAAAAGCTCCTGGCTCCTGGCTTCAGATCGGCACAGCTCCAGCCGTTGTGGCCACTTGGGGAGTGAACCAACGGATGAAGACCTTTTTCTTTGTCTCTCCCTCTCACTGTCTGTAACTCTACCTCTCAAATAAATAAATAAATAAATAAAATCTAAAAAAAAAAAAAAGCGTTTGTTGGGGTCACTGCTGTGGTGTAGCAGGTTAAGCACTCACCTGTGGCACTGGCATCCTATATGGCTGCTGGTTCCAGTCCCAACTGCTCCACTTCCGATCCAGCTCTCTGCTAACGCACTTGGGAAAGCAGTAGAAGATGGCCCAAGTGCTTGAAGCCCTATAGCCACATGGGAGATCAGGAAGAAGCTCCTGGCTCCTGGCTTTAGACGGGCCCAGCTCCGGCATTGTGGCCATTTGTGGAGTGAACCTGTGGATGTAAGATCTCTGTCTCTCTTTGTCTCTACCTGTGTCTTTCAAATAAACAGAGAGATATGTTCCATCTGCTGGTTTACTCCCTCAATGGCCCCAACAGCCAGGTTTAGGCCTGGTTGAAGCTAGAAGGAAGGAACTCAAGCCTGGTGTCCTGTGTGGGTGGCAGGAGCCCAAGTGCTTGGGCCATCATCCACTGCTTTCCTAGGCACTTTAGGATGCAGCTAAGCGGCAGTGGAGCAGCCAAGACTCAACCCAGCACCCCAATATGGGATGCCAGTGTTGCAGGCAGCAACTTAACTTGCTGCGCCACAGTGTCAGCCCTGCCATTTAACTTATAAAATGGCTTTCACGGCACATCCACATTTCCCTCTGATTTGACAATATTCCAAACATGTCTTTCCATGTCAATAGAGACATTTCCATAATGGTTTTTAGTGGCTGCATATTTCATTACATAGATGGACTATATTTCTTTTCAAGCATCAGTTTCAGGAACCAATCCCCCATGGAAAGACATTATGACTACTTCTAATTTTTAAACAATTATTCCAGTGAATGAAGGAGTGATCAAGCTATTGCTGAGATCTCAATAACGGAGAAAATGAATTACACAATGGAAATCTCTGAACACCACACCTGATCACTGGAGCAAGGAAAGCCCCGGTCCAAGAGAAAGGCTTTTAAGATACGAAGAAAGGAAAAGAAATGAACACATTTATAAAGCTTTCCAAATTGTCCAGCACAAATGACCACGGTTTACAGTTTGTGGCATACCTGGTCCCTGGATTGATGGCATGAATCTAGTCATTCATTTTATTTAAGAGAAAAACAACAACAAAAAAGTGTCTGTCATAAGATCAATAAGCTCAGAATGAAAAACAGCTTTCCTCAAGCAAATTCAGAATGATGAAGAATTTCACAAAATAAAAACTGAAAAAAAAAATCACCATCTTGTTTTTGTCTTTGAAGAAAAAGTGAAGATGTATAGAATTAGGGATTAGAGATGATTTTTCTAAGCACAAATTAACTCAGTATAGGAAAAGCCTAATAGGCTGAAGTAAATGAAAAACTGAAGAAAATCTATGACAATCAATCAATGCTTCTTAGTATACAAATGGTTATTACTAGCCAATGAAAAATCAAAACTACTCCCAAAGAGATAAATGGGCAGAGGGCATGACAAAGCAATTCACAGAGTAAAGAAAAAAATACCAAATAAACACATACGATTGTTGAATCTCAGATAAATTTAAAGGACTGTCACAATCCACCTTGGTGAGGCTGCTCATGTAAACTGGTATACCCTTTCAGAGAGCAACTGAACCCATATCAAAATATAAGTACACGCTCAACAGGCTAATCCTCCGCCTGCGGCGCCGGCATACCAGGTTCTAGTCCCGGTCGGGGCGCCGGATTCTGTCCCAGTTGCCCCTCTTCCAGGCCAGCTCTCTGCTGTGGCCCCGGAGTGCAGAGGAGGATGGCCCAAGTGCTTGGGCCCTGCACCCCATGGGAGACCAGGAGAAATACCTGGCTCCTGCCTTTGGATCAGCGCAGTGCGCTGGCCGCGGTGGCCATTGGAGGGTGAACCAACGGCAAAGGAAGACCTTTCTCTCTGTCTCTCTCTCTCACTGTCCACTCTGTCTGTCAAAAATATATATATATATATAAGTACACATATTCTTTGAATCATTAATCTAAAATACTTTCCTAAGAAGGTAATTATATATAACTTATTTATAAGGTAAGTAGTATTGCTTGTGATGTAAGAAAATAAACCAACTGCCTGTGGATGAGGAATCTGTAAAATAAATTATGGCAGGTATGTATAAATAACAGACTACTCTATAGCAATTTTACCATGCTAACTGTTGGAGAGGGCATTTGGCAGTGCGGTCAAAATCCTGGTTGGGATGCCTGCATCCTTTATTACAGTTCCTGGCTGGAGTTCCGGCTCTGTTCCTGGTCCCAGCTTCTTGCCAATACAGCCCTGAGAAGTAGCTCAAGTGGTTGGGTCCCTGTCACCCATGTGGGAGACCCAGACTGAGTTCCTGGTTCCTGCTCTAGCCCAGTCTCAGTCACTGTGGGAATTTGAGGAAGAAACTAGCCAGATGGGAGCTCTCTGTCTCTCTGATATAATAAATAACTTAATATGCTAACAGTACATCTACATTTCTTTTTTTTTTTTATTTTTTTTTATTTTTGACAGGCAGAGTGGACAGTGAGAGAGAGAGACAGAGAGAAAGGTCTTCCTTTGCCGTTCGTTCACCCTCCAATGGCCGCCGCGGTAGGCGCGCTGCGGCCAGCGCACCGCGCTGATCCGATGGCAGGAGCCAGGAGCCAGGTGCTTTTCCTGGTCTCCCATGGGGTGCAGGGCCCAAGCACCTGGGCCATCCTCCACTGCACTCCCTGGCCACAGCAGAGGGCTGGCCTGGAAGAGGGGCAACCGGGACAGAATCCGGCGCCCCGACCGGGACTAGAACCCGGTGTGCCGGCGCCGCTAGGCGGAGGATTAGCCTAGTGAGCCGCGGCGCCGGCCCATCTACATTTCTTGGTGTTGAAAAGTATCTGTGAGATTGTAGGATTTTCACAGAGAGGTTAGAGAACACAGAATATATGTCTCTTTACTATCAAATGTTTTGTTACACAGAGATGTGTGAAAGGACAGCTGCCAAAAGGCTCATGATGAATTCTGGTTATTTTTACATAATTCATGGTATTTTTCTGAATCCTCAAGAAAAAAGTCATTTTTATAAAAATACTAATAAACATTTTACTGTTGGGAGGACAGTCTTGATTGTTCTATTCCCAAAGAGATGGAGTTCATATCTAGTTTGGCTAACAAGGGCAGCTGGCTGTTTGTTTGCCTTTATTGTTACCTTGATAACTGTGATATAACAAAGAATTTATACAGTCTTTGTCCTGGGTTTCTAGCCAGACTTTCAAAAGCCCTTTGTTACACTAACAAGGTGACTCAGAGAGCCAGGCTCCAACCTCCTGGGAGGATGAGGAGCAGGGCTAGAGATAGAGCTCAAAACTGCACGGCCAATGAGCTGATCAATCACGCCTACCTAACGAGGCCACAGTGAAGACTGAACACTAAAGGTCAGGCAACGTCCTGGTGAACACCTTGACAAGCCAGGTGAGTGAGGTACCCTGACACCGGGTGTGTCGTTTATAACAAAACTACAACTGGAAGGACAGGACTCCTGGCAATCTACTGCACTCCAGCCGGCTGGTCAGAAGCAGCGCTGGCCTGGCCCTCGTAGCTGCAGTCTGAATGGGGCCGCCCCGAGGGAGTGGGCTGGGTGCTAACTCTAGTGCATCGTGAGTGGGGTGGAGCCATTTGGGATGACACAGGAGCAGTGACCTGATACTTGGATAATATGATTTTCTGTAACAGACACTTTCAAAGGTAACAAAGCAAAACAGACAAAAAACACACAAAAGTTAAACTAATGTCACAGTCTGATAAAGGCCAGTATTTGATTGATTGGATTTTGTGATTTTTCTACGGCTGGCAATAAAACACAAGAAACATTTGTCTGTCTTGGGCACCAAACACCTCCTTGCTGGGACCACTTATGCAGCCCTCCCAAGCTGCGCTCACAGCACTGGGTACCTCTGTCACAGCGCTTGTTACTCTCCACAGCACTGTGCCACAGCCGCTGTGCCTCTCTCCTAGGCTGCTCTGTGAAGTCCAAAGCAGGGAGCGCATCTTATTAATCTCAGAACCTACCACACTGCCGAGAACACGGCAGATGCTCCCGAAGTTTGCTGGATGACCGAATGAGTCAATTAAATAGAGCTGCGTGTAAAAATCACTCCAGCGAGCAAAAGCACGTGAGTGGGTGCTTTAGTTGGAAACTCACAGTCATTCTGGACTCGTCCCTCCCCAGACGTCTTTATATTCAACCACACACTGTGTATGGTAGCTCAGATAAGCCGGCGGCCTTTACAGGGAGACAGTGAATGAAACAGAGAATTTCTGTAAGCAGAGTATGAGAAAGGAAGAGCATCAAGTGGTCTTTTCCTTTGCTCAGATTGCTGTGGTCTCGTACCAAGCGAAATCTGGCCTGAAGGACAAACTAATTTTCCCTTGGTCAGAATGCTCTTGTCCTTCTCGACAATGTTTACGCACCTTTCAGCCGAGCATCGCCCCCAAAGGCACCACAGCCCCAGTTTCCCGTGGCCACTGCAGAAAGATTCTCTGAGGAAACTCCAGGGCGGAGAAATCCACAGTAAGCCTGCAGGATGAAAGAAATATCAGCACATGAGTGACTCGCCACCGTGAGTGATTCTGACTGATGTCCTGGGATCAATTTCCATGATCAAGCTTATGTTCTCTGGCATTCTTTTTTTCTTAGGGACCAAAGCAGAAGGAAAAACAAAGAAAGAGAAAAGCCTGGATTCTATAAGGAAGACAGTAAGAAATGATTAGATTCTAACATTTATTTGTTTTGGCGCTGGACAAATCAAATCCTTTAAACAAGTCCCGGTTTCTTTTTTGGATTCAAGCAAACAGAAATGGAAATACCAGAGGTACTTCAAAAACTGATGGAGTCCCAATGACGGACTGCCAGGGACTAAAACTAAGAGAACACCGCTTGCTTTGGAGGCTTCGGGCTAGCATGTTTTTGTCAAGGCAGGTCACCTGTCTCGCTTCCTCAGCGCCCTCTCCCTGACACAGGAGGACTACATCAGAATATGAATAGGCGTTTAAACATGCTCCGGCCACTCCCATGGCTTAACAGAGAGCAAGCTACTGTCCAAAAGAGGAATGTCTACACCTTTTTTTTTTTTTAAGTCATAGAGAGAGAGAGAGGAATCTTCCATTTGCTGGTTCACTCCCGGGATGGCTGCAATGGCCAGCACTGGGCCAGCCAGCAGCCAAGAGCTTCATCTGGATCTCCCACGAGGGTGGCGGGGAAGGAAGCTTTCCCAGGCTCTTAGCAGGGAGCTGGATCGGCAGTAGAGTGGCTGAGACACAAACCAGCACCCCCATGGGAATCTGCTGGCATCACACGTGGCGGCTTTACTTGTGGCACCGAGTGCTGGCTCTGGGCTTCCTACACCTGAGGATCCTTTCAAGATGGCCTCTCAGATCTCTTTCAGCCCTAGAATTCCTGTTCACAGCTGTTAAGTTTGAATAGAAAAACTTTGCAAGAAATCTGAGAAAAGTACAATCTATTCCGGGGATGTTGGCTAAGTAGCAATTAAATGAGTGACTCATTTTGTTTATGAGCAGGCTACAGTTGAAGGTCCCAGAGTTTCTGATTTCCATTTCTTTTGCTGGCAGCCTAGTTGGTCTTTCTGCCTCCTAAGGCTTCTTAGTTTCCTGAAACTATCAGACTATATTAAGAGGTTTAATATAATAGCTAAGCAAATCTCCCCTAGCTTCTCTCAAGTACCAATCAAAGGCTAAAATACAGCCTATGTATAATAGTAAATAAAATTAAAAGAATGATCTGTGACAAATGTTCCCAGAGAAAAACCGAGGATAAAGAAAGATGCTTCTGTGAAACCCACACATAGAAATATAGTAAATTGCTTTCTGAAGCTTCCACAAAGGCATAAAAATTTATTTTACACACTGTCTGGATGGATTAACAAGGCTGTTCCTTCCACCCCCTCCTAGGCTGTAAATTCTGACGGGTATTAATTACAAGTTGCTGCCAGACCATTATTCAACACCGTGGAACCGACTGACACAGAACTCACAGATCACCCATATAATCAGATGCATGGAGCTTCTGAAAATCTCTTTCAGGTCAAAAATATCAGGAAGTCAGAGAGCACCATTTTTTAAGGAGTGGATTCTTGAAAGATAAAGAGTCTGTGTCATTATATTAACAAGGGGAAAACAACCCATATCAGAATAAACCTAACTCTGCCACTTTGCTTCCTGGATCAAAACCGGGTCAGCAGGCCTCTGAGAACACGTCTCTGTTTTATATGACCACAATGGTGCTGGTATCTTCCTCTCTGCTACCTCTAAGTAACAGGGCTAGCCTGACCTCAGTGAGCAAACACAGCCTAGGGAAGCTAAGGCCTGACAATGGAGAATTTGAAACGTTTGAATTGTTTGAGGAAAAGTCTAAGACACAAACACAAACCCATATTCTTGAAAATTGGCCCTAAGAAAAAGAAACCATGAAACTAATGTTAAACTGCATTCAGTGATTTTTAACAGGTAATATCAGATGGAATTTTAAAAAATTAACCAGCAGGTAAAGCTGCCACCTGCAGGGCTGGCATCCCATATGGGCACAAGTTCGAGTCCCAGCTGCTCCATTTCCGGTCCGGCTCTCTGCTATGGCCTGGGAAAGCAGTAGAGGATGGCCCAAGTCCTTAGGCCCCTGCACCTACTTGGGAGACTAGGAGGAAGCGCCTGGCTCTTGGCTTTGGATTGGCCCAGCTCTGGGCATTGCGGCTATTTGGGGAGTAAACCAGTGGATGGAAGACCTCTCTCTCTCTCTGCCTTTCAAATAAAATAATATTAAAAAAAGAAAAGTGAACCAGGGGCCAGGGTTGTGGTACAGTGGGTTAAGCCACCAATCGGATGTAAGGCATCCTGTATTGGAACGCCAGCTTGAGTCCTGGTACTCTTACTTCTAAGCCACTTGGCTGGTGCTGCACCTGGGAAGGCAGCAAAGGAATTTCCATGTACTTGGGTCCCTGCTGCCCAACTAGGAGACCAAGATCGCGTTCTGGGGCTCCTGGCTTCGACCTGGCCCAGCCCTGGCTGTTGTGGCCATGTAGGCAGTGAATGAGCAAAGGAAGACCTGTCTGTCTCCCTGTGTCCCCTGCTGTCATGGCTTTGCTTTTCAAATAAATAAATAAATCTTAAAAAAAAAAAAAAAAAAGATTTTGTGGCTCTGCCCTGGTATTTAGCATTTCAGGAATCCTCTTCTTAGAGAAGGGAGAAGCCTAGGCTGACCCATTTTCAGGGACTCAGGGAAGTTTACTGCAACCAACCCTTCCTGTCTTTGGGTTCTGCACCAGTGATTCAACCAAAAGCAGATCAAAAATATTAGAAAAAAATTTTTGTACTCAATCTGTATGGACTTTTCCCTTTTTCATTATTCCCTGCACAGAGTAGTGCACATTGGTGCAGGGGCCTAAGCATTTGGCCCATCTTCCGCTGCCTTCTCAGCTACATTAGCAGGGAGCTGCTTTGGAAGCGGAGCAGCTGGCCCCGAGAACCTTCCTTTTTACAGTAGGAATCGAGCTTGCAAGAAGGGAACAAAGGCCAGACAAGGACAGAGACCACAAAATAGTTGCCATGGACCACTCCACAGGGACAGGTGCTCCATGTTGGCAAGTGCCTTCTCTTCTCCAGGCAGAGCCAGAGTACCTGAGATTTACCAGAGTGACAACAGTGGAAGAAAGCCAGCTCCAACTCTGGCACACCCTGACCTGGTATTCAGCCATGACAGAGCAATGGTTTTTACTAATAGCTTAACAGGAAGCATTCATGCCTCAGGATAAGAAGAGAATACCGATGATTGCCCACGCCCACCCCATGTCAGAACCTGATGAGAAAGGAAGAGAAAAGAAACTTTGAGGGTCAAGTGTAAGAGGAAAATGTTAGAACCCAGAGTTAAAAATTAGAGATTGGCCAGGAAGTGGTGAAGACAGAGATGTAGAAAGGGAATATAAAGGCAAAAGAGACCAAGGACAACAGGTGTAACAGCCCAGGGCTCAGAACTGCGTGCAGGAGATGGTACTCAGGGCAAGGTCTGGAACATAGTCACTTAGGAAGAATTCTGGCTTCAGCGTCAATTTCAGCAGGCCCCAAGCATATACAGTTAACGTCCTTCACTATCATGTAAATACATTATACTGCTTGCCAGATAACTAATTTTAGGAATTATTGTTCATGAAGTCCATCTAGCACATGTTAACTAAAATTAACATATGGTTGATATGATACTGATTTCCTGAGTGTTTTTTTTTTAAGTATTTTGTGATATAAAACATGATATAAAGACCCTTAAGGATCTTCCTAAAGAGAATGAATATTAATCAGAGTCATATTATCTTTAGACATAGTAATAACATTTCTATAAATTTCTTCTAAATAAACAGCACCTGTAAAAAGATGCATATTCCTATTTTAGATATAATTGAGAAAAACCTGGGAATACCTAATTGTTCAAAAATAGGACAGTAGTTTAAAAGCACAGTCTATCTATTAATCCAACCAATATTACTAAATATTTTATTATGGAGATTATTAGAAACTATATATAGCTAAATGTGATAGTAATTATAAATAACTTGAGCAATCATATGAAACTGAATTTTCTGTGGAAAGGCCTATAAAAATGTAAACATCTGTTTGAAAGGTAGGATTTTGGATAACATATCTTGTCTTTAAAATAACTGCAGTATTAGTACACAGTCCTTGCTATTTGAAAATGCAAACAAGGGGCAGGTGTGTGGCAGAGCAGTTAAACTGCTGCTTCAGATGCCTGCATACCACGTTGGAGAGCCTGGTTCAAGTCCTGGCTACTCCACGTCTTTTTCTTTTTAAAAATTTATTTATTTTTTGAAAGGCAGAGTTACGGGGTAGGGTTGGGGAGGGGGAGGGCAGACACAAAGAGATCTTCCATGCTCTGCACTTCCCAAATGCTTGCAGAGGCCAGGGCGGGGCCTAGCTGAAGCCAGGAGCCTGGAACTCCATCCAGATCCCCCACGTGGGTGCAGGGGCCCAGGGACTTGGACTATCTTCCACTGCTTTAGCAGGACCATTAGCAGGGAACTGGACTGGAAGTAGAGCAGTTGGGACTTGAACCAGTGCCCATCTGCAGATGGCACCTTAATCTACTGCACACAACTTGGGCCCTGGCAACTCCACTTCTGATACAGATTCCTGCTAACGTGTACTCTAGGAGACAGCACATGATGGTGTGAATACTTGGGTCCCTGCCACCCGTTTGGGAGGCCTGACTGAGTTCCAGGCTGGCTTCTATCTTTGGCCTGGCCCAGCCCTGGCTGTGAAGGGCATTTGGAGAGTGCATGCAAGATCTGATTTTTTTTAAATGTTATTTATTTGAGAATAGAGCTACAGATAGAGAGAAAGGTCTTCCATTCACTGGTTCACTCCCTAAATGGCCACAGTTGCCAGAGCTGGGCTCATCTGAAGCCAGGAGCCAGCAGCTTCCTCCGGGTCTTCCATGCAGGTGCAAGGGCCCAAGCACTTGGGTCATCTTCCACTGCTTTCCCAGGCCACAGCAGAGAGCCAAGGTTTCTGTTTCTGTGTCTGTCTCTCTAATGAAATGAAAATAAAGAAAAATTAAAGAAAACAAAGTGCAATATAAAAAGAAGTCTGCAGCCCTGTTTTCTCAGGTGTAAAACCAAAGGCTGAATTCAGTCTCCATGACTACTCTGATTCTATATATTAAGAAATTCTAAGAGAAAACTCATAGAAATGACATTTTGAAAAAAAGCTTCATTTCATATTTATTTATTTGGAAAGAAGAGAGAGAGAGAGAGAAGAGAGAGAGAGAAGAGAAGGAAAAAGAGAGAGGAGAGGGATAGAGGGATATCTTTTTCATTTGCTGGCTCACTCCCTATTACGCCAGGGCTGGGCCAAGCCAAGGCCAGGGGCCTAGAACTCAATCAGGGTCTCCCACATGAGCAGCAAGGACCCCAGTATTTGCATCATCACACTGCCTCCTAGGGTGCACAATGGCAGGAAGCTCGGTTTAGTCCAAGACACTCAGGATAGGAGGATGGTGTCCCAAGTGGCACCTTAATCAAACACCTGTGCCAAACACCTGCTCCAGAAAGGATACATTTTGAACTAAGATTACTGAAAAGTGACATATACTTCAGAAAAAGATCATACATGAATAGATATTGAACGTAAAAATACCAGTGGCAAGTACTGACTGGTTTGTTATCCCCTATTCCAAACTTGGTGTTGGACAATAACAACACCAAACACATTAAATTAATTAAGAAAAAAGTCAACAGTGATGATTCAGTTTGTCTAATTTCTGCTCCAGAAGGTTCCACAAAATATATTCTTCATTTAATCTAACCTAAACAAGTCAAACGTGGCTACACACAACTTCTCACAGGCGATGTCTTTCTTCCCGTACAGAGAGCTATTTGCAACTTGTACAACTTGGAGTCATAAATCTTCCCAGTGCCAAAGCTAATTCTCCTCTGGCATGTCACCCAGCTGATCTCCCACAGAACTAAACACTGCCTCACGGTATCAGTCAGATCAAGCGAGACGGATTTCCCTCCTTGTAAAAACAACTCTGCCCTCAGGTCAGGAGGAGACCTGACAGGACAGGCGGAGCCTGGCTGGAGCAGGCCTCTCCAGAGGTGATGGAGCACTTTGTGGGATTGCTCTTTCAGTATTTTCTGGTGAGCAGTGCCTGAAAGTAGCAGACAGGCCCCCACAGCTCAGAGAGCCACACTAAATTCTGACGGTGAAAACTGCTCTTACATTTTGCCACTTCATTTAGGAAAAAAAATATTAATTTTTCTATTCCTCTCTAGTGTCCTTTTGGCATGTGAAAACAAAACAACACAAACAGAAAAAAAGTCCTCTCTTAGGTGATTTAATACATTCTCTGTTTCAAGCTTAACATAGGGAAATGTAACAGTGCATCAAATATTTTCTCCATGTGTGCTTCCAGTTTTTAAAAAAAGCGGGTCTAATAGACGTCAGGGAAATCTGGACTTAAGCCCTGGCTTGATCACTGCCCGTCTGTGTGGACCAGAGTCAGTCACGGGGTTTCCTGAGGCTCGGGCCGCTATATCTAAAGGGAAGATAAGAACAGTTATCTATTCTTCCTTGGATGGTTGGGATTAAATCAGAAAATGCATTTGAAGTGCCTGGCACACAGTAAGCAATCAACTAATTGCTTCACTATTTTTTTCCTTTAAGGCTTATTTATTTGAGGGGGGGGGGGGGAAAGAAAGAGAGAGAGAGAGAGAGAAAATCTTCCATATGCTGGTTTACTCCCCAAGTGGCCACAATGGCCAGGGCCAAGGCAGGCCAAAGCCAGGAGCCAGGAGCTTCATCTGGGTCTCCCACATGGGTAGCAGGGGCCCAAATACTTGGACCATCTTCCATTGCTTTCCCCAGGCCATCTGCAGGGAGCCGGCTCAGAAGCAGAGCAGCCAAGACATGAACTGGTATCCATATGGGATGCCAATGTCACAGGAGGTAGCTCTACCTGCTATATCAAAACACCGGCCCTGCTTTCACTATTTTTAATTACATCATTTGGGAAAAAAATTTCTACCCGTTCTTGACATAAAAGAATCTTTAATGAGTTAGAAATTAAACTGAATTGCATATTGACATAAATCACAGCAGGTTGAAAGTGAACACAGAACTGAATTACTACGTTACAAGTCAACCACTGCTTTCTGTGCATCATCTATCTGTTCTGCACTTGGTTTGATGCTGGATTTACTAGGTTTTACTCAGCATTTGAAGAATATTCAGGAAATCTCTAACCATCTGTAATATTTTGAGTGATTTGAAATAATGTACTTATCTACTTTCTAAAATCTTAAAAATCTCTATCAGCATTGTCCAATCCATCACTGACCAGGTCATTTAACAGATTATTTCTAAGACACTCTCATCAGGCCGGTAGTGTGCTCAGCACTGATTGACTAGGAAGGGACAAAATTCCTCCCGGTGCGAGGTTATTTAAAGATGCATCCTTTCTATACAGTACTTACCACTACTGTGACCTACCCGTATCTCTATCTGAGGGCAGGCAAACTGAAGGCTACTGGTACACAAGTGAATGTACAGAGCATCACTGGCCATGGAGACTTCTGAAAAAGGCTGATTTATGCCCCACGGCTGCCCTTTAAAAAGATCACAATTACTGATAATTTCTGAAAGTGAAATATCTAGGTCCCACAGGGAAGTGCCTGTGGGAATATAAAGTTTATCCACAATGAAAGGGGAACCTTCCATTTGTGTTAATATCCTTTGTATCCATGGATAAACACATTTTGGTTTTATTTTCCTTTTCATCTATTTCTCTCCAAATCACCTTCTACTTAGAACAATGCCTTCCAGTTTCAGTGACCATGTGACAAATTCCCATACACATGTTTAAGTAATACCTGACGAAAACCTAAAAATAAATCTTACTCTCCTGATATGCCAGTCATAAACGCATCATGGACTCAGAGGTAACAGCTTTTATGCACGAGTGTGGAGCAGGGAAAGCAGGCCTACATTACAATGTACCAATAGGAGCAAAACACGCTCTTGAGCACAGGCAATCCCTGTTGAGAGCTGGGTAGGAGAGAAATGCAGAACTGCTAATATACCGAAGACCAGCCTTTCTGGATAGCCTTCCTGAAGAGTTTCTTTTTCTTTTCGCTCCTCACATGCTCTCAACAGCCAGGCTGCGCCAGGGTGAACCCAAGGGCCAGGAGGTCCACCCAGGTCTCCCATGTGGCAGAGAGCCAAATACTTGAGCTACCATTTCCTGCTTTCCAGGGTACACATCAGCAGAAAGCTGTATTGGAAGTGGAGGCGGGACTTGACCCCTGCCACTCCAACATGAGATGCAGGTATCCCAAGAGGCAGTTTAACTCTGTTACAATGCCCACCCCAAGAATTACCTTTTCTTAGGAAAAATAAATAAATAAATAAAGATGTCAGTCATGCAAATTCAACTTCAGAAAGTAGTATGTTATTCTTCAAACTTCTTACTAGATCCATTCATGAACTCTAAACATTAAACTAAACTAATAAATTATATATCCACAAACATGTTTAATAATAAATTAGATTCTCAAATGGAACAGGATATAAGCTAATATATCCAATTATACTCGGACTATCTACTAGGTTGTTAAGGTTGTTAGCAAGAGCCTTCCTGGTTGTTTATACCCAGTCTGCTATTATCAGAAGTCTTTAGGCAGGGACTGGCATCTGTAGCCATGCAAAATCTCTAAGCTCTTTATCTTTTTTTTAAAATTGTATTTATTTATTTGAAAGGCAGAGTTACTGAGAGAGAGAGAATGAATGAATCTTCTATTTGCTGGTTTACTCCCCAAATGGCCACAACAGCCAGAGCTGGGCTGGTCTGAAGCCAGGAGCTTCTTTTAGGTCTCTCATGCAGTGCAGGGCCCAAGCACTTGGGCCATCCTCCACTACTTTCCTAGGCACATTAGCAAGGAGTGGGATTGGAAGTGGAGCAGCTAGGACTCCAACTGGTGCTTATATGGGATGCTGGCACGCAGGCAGTGGCTTTACCCACTAAGCCACAGTGCTGATCCCAAGGCTCATTATTTTAATAAATAATCTCATAATCAATCCTACTTGTGGGAGTTAAACAATGGTTTTCAGAACTGGTCAGTCTTGTTGGCTGTGAGGGTAACTTGAGGAACTACAGAAAATTTCAGCTTTTTTGGTAAGGCCCCAAATCTAGAGAGCAGAACTGAAAGTATTATGGAGTTTATTTCCTACGATTAACAGGATTGAAAATTTGAACAATTGCTATGGCTCATTTTTATCTTCGTAATATAGTAAAAAAGAAGAAAATTATTAAAGCAGCACAAAGCATTACAGAAAATCAACAATTTCATTATTACCTAATGTGAATCTTACCTATAATGAAACTATAATTAACAAGACTTTTTTGGTTAATCTGCTTTAATTCCTGATAGGACACCTGCAGAGAGACTGTCACCAGGCAGGTCTGAAGAAAACCTGCAGGGCTCACTTGTTTCTCCACGGTGCTACAATGATAATGTTCCGAAGCGGCTGCAAGTACTTGACGAGATAAATGCATGTGTGGGGCTTAACACCGAGCAATCGTCTATCTGGCAACCTCGGCCAGTAATCAAACAATTATGGAATGGAAAGTACATCTTGTACGAGCTGACACAGCCATTAAATCAGGAGAGCTGTGGGCAGACGTACTGACACTGCAAGAATTACCAGAAAGCATTAATTTCAGCATTAATAAAATGGCAGTAAATAGATGACAGCTGCCAGATGAACTAAGCATTAAGGTTACTGGCCTTGTTAAGCTCCCGTCTCATTTTCTCAGGCACAAACTGATCGAGGTAGCGTCTGAAGTGAAGGGCGTCGATGGCAACGATCTCAGTGTGGCGCCGCTGCCAGTCGTCCCTGGGATGGGACAGAATGGGGAGAGGAACAACAAGTAGTCACTCAAATAAAACCTGGAGGGGCCTCGCTGCTGAGGCTGTGACAATGCTAAAGTATTAAAAGCAAACAAACAGATCAACCAGTGTCTGCAGCAACGCAGGAGGGTGGAAAGCCATTTTATTTTTAGGTTCCAAGGCTTAGACACAGTGCACTGTCAGGCAATAAGCAGTGAGATGAAAAATGATCAAGAGACAGCACAGTATGACATATTGTAAACAAGTGCACCACTTACAATGAATCTCAGAGGCTAATGGATTTGGGGACAAACAAAAGGAATTTAATTCTTTGTTTTCCTTTTACACTAAGACATAGCTTCTATTTTGACAAGGGCTCATTCCTCCCGTGCTTTCAGAGAGCTGCTCTAAATCATTGGGTTTACATCACCACATATTGTCCAGGAAATAATCCTAAGAAGCATTAGGAAAAATGTGTAATAACTCAGCGCAACCTTCTGCCTGCTGCGCTCAATTGCAGACCCCGAGAAACGACTTCTGAAAGGACAAAGACATCAGAGCAGACGGGGACACACTACCTGTGGAAACAAGAAGGGCCAGCTGACATACTCTTAGAAACACGTAAAACCCCACATATTTCACCTCTTTATAAACCTGCATACACTGATATGAGGAGTAATGAAAGAAAACTTTCATGTTTGTCTGCAAATAATCAGGGAGAAAGGTCCACACGGAAAACTGCTTTAACCTCACATTTCAAACAAAATAAAGGAAAACAAACTAGAGGTTGGCCTTGAGATATTTCAAAGAATAAGTTCATGGCACAGATAGGGCAACACGGGCAATAGCTGCCCAGCGGCTTTCTTATTAAAAAATAAGATGGAAAAATGTCCACAAGCTTTCAGGAGGCACTGCCGCAAAGACTTTCCTCTGGTAAACCACACAACGTAGTGGGGAAGCAAAGATGTCAGAGTATGAAAATATATTTTATGGAGACACGGGAGACAGCAGCAGCAAAGCTCACGGCAGGTTCTGCTGTCCAGTGGTCTGTGGCACCAGGCAGGCTGTCCCGACACAGGTTTCCCTCTGTCTAATCTCACAGAGAAGCTCAGGCTACCCGTAAACAAGCTGGTCAAAGGCTTGACGTTCTACTCAGCGCCTGTGCTAAACAAGTGCCGCTTGGAAGCTGCCCTCCACCGCTCCTGACTGACAGCTTAGAGACTTCCTTGCTTCTGCTTTGGAGTTTTAGTTTTTATCTTTTCTCTTCTTCCATCTGGTACAGGAAAATCATAATAGCGGTTTAACTGCCGAAGAACTTGTGATGCTGAATTTAAAATGAGGTCCAAGTTGCTGAAATAAGAGTCAGAGGGATGGAGGGACGGGGTGGGTGGAGGGAACATCAGGGTCAAGCGGACGTTTCTTTGCTTCTAGCCTTGTGTTACACAAGTCTGAAATACTCACCTTTCACTCCCATCCTCATGGCTCCGGGCCCAGCGATACGTTTCAGCATAGCCTGTGTATTCACTGTACTGTTCAGAACCTGAAACAAATCATATGTTATTAATGACTTCACACTCAACATTCTACCCAAGGTCAGAAGAAGGCAAGCACTGCCACTCTCATCACTTCTCAGGAGTGTCCTGAGGGTCCCCTGCCAGTGTAGTCAGGCAAGAAAAGAAGTGACAGGTATAAAGAGTGTAAAAGAAAGTTCAAACTGGCCCTATCTGCAGATGTCATAATTGTTCACATAGAAAACCCTTAGGAACCACTGAACAGAAATGATTATAAGTCAGCTTAGTACGATAAAAAGTCTATCAGTATATTAGCTACAAACAATAGGAAAATAAAACTTTTCAAGAATACATTCATGTCAAAAAATAGAAAATACCCAGGAGTAAACATAACCAAGAACACAGAAGATAGCACTGAGAAAAATGAGAGAAGACTTAAATCATGGAGACATATGCTCTTGGGATGGTAGAAGACTCAGTATTTGCCAATTGGTTTTCAACACAGGTGCCCTAAGAATCCACAGGTGAAAGGCCATTATTGCTGGAATAAGTAGGTATTCACAAGAAAAGACTAATCTGGCCGGCGCCGCGGCTCACTAGGCTAATCCTCCGCCTTGCGGCGCCGGCACACCAGGTTCTAGTCCCGGTCGGGGCACCGGATTCTGTCCCGGTTGCCCCTCTTCCAGGCCAGCTCTCTGCTGTGGCTAGGGAGTGCAGTGGAGGATGGCCCAGGTGCTTGGGCCCTGCACCCCATGGGAGACCAGGAAAAGCACCTGGCTCCTGGCTCCTGCCATCGGATCAGCGCGGTGCGCCGGCCGCGGCGGCCATTGGAGGGTGAACCAACGGCAAAGGAAGACCTTTCTCTCTGTCTCTCTCTCTCACTGTCCACTCTGCCTGTGGAAGAGAAGAGAAAAAAGGGACCAGACTAATCTCCACTATTGACTTCATACTATGAGTAAAATTACTTTGAAATAGAGCCCAGACATCAAAATAAAACATAAATGTAAGACTTCAGAATGAAACACAAATTTGCTTTATCATACTGGGGGTAGGGGAAAATGTTTCAGACTGGATAAAGAAAGCAGTGACAACAACATTTACAACAATAAATCCCAAACAGAAACTAGACCAGGCCAAAAGTAAACACTTTCACTCAGAGAAGTATCTTTAGGAAAATGCTTAGGCAAGACTGGAGGAAAAATATTTACAAAACAACTATCTGAAAAAGGACCTATATTCAGAATATTTGAAGAATTCTAAGGAGACAATAAAAATAATCCAATTTAGAAAAATGGGCATAAGACTTGAACATAAATTTCACAAAAGAGGATATACAATTGGCTACCAATCAAAGCCCATCAGAGAAATGCAAATTAAAACCAGCATGACATCACTAAATGGTCAAAAGAATCCATGCGTGGACTGTTCATAACACATTTTCCATGAGCTTTCTGAAGTACCCTAGTATATGAAGGACCTGGTGTGGGCCATTTTCCACAATAAAAAGTCAAAAGATTTAAAATTCACCTCAAAGTTCAGTCTATTATTTAGCATGCTTGGTTTTTTTTTTTTTTTTGACAGGCAGAGTGGACAGTGAGAGAGAGAGAGACAGAGAGAAAGGTCTTCCTTTGCTGTTGGTTCACCCCACAATGGCTGCTGCGGCCCGCGTGCTGTGGCCGGTACACAGCACTGATCCAAAGCCAGGAGCCAGGTGCTTCTGGTCTCCACGCGGGTGCAGGGCCCAAGCACTTGGGCCACCCTCCACTGCACTCCTGGGCCACAGCAGAGAGCTGGACTGGAAGAGGAGCAACTGGGACAGAATCCAGTGCCCTGACCGGGACTAGAACCTGGTGTGCCGGCGCCGCAGGCGGAGGATTAGCCTAGTGAGCCGTGGCGCCGGCCAGCATGCTTGTTCTTAAACATAATCCATACATCATCTCCTGTAAGTGCATCTAGAATTTTGGGAAGACCCTTGATACATATTATGTATCAAGGAAGTAAGTATAAAATACACGCTGTTCTTGACACTGTAAGTAGAGCTGCTGGCCCCACCCACCCTGTGCTCCCATGGTACTTTGTACGTAGACAGTATCAATACAGCTCTTCACTGTAATGTAATGATAAATGTAATCTGAAAATCAACTGTATTTCCATAGAGTAGCAACAAATAATCGGGAGTAAATTAAAAAAAAAATCACAGTAGCAAAACAACAAATACTTAGGGATATGCCTGACAAAAATGTGGAAGAAGTATATCATGAAAAGCATAAAATAGTAGTAGGAAAAACAAACTTACTTAGCTATAACTTTTAAAGCTGTTTTAAAAAATATAATCTGATTCCCTCACTAGATTATAAATTGCTCAAGGGCCAGAATTATAAAATACTAACATTTTGTCTGCATTGTAACGCACCAACATGAGAGCAGGCTAGGGAGCAGATGCTTAGCCTGGAAGTTAAGATGCCCGTATCCCACAACACAGTGCCTGAGTTTACTTCTTGACTCTGGCCCCCGACATCGGGTTCCTATCAGCCATGTGGAGACCTGGATTAAGTTCTTGGCTCCTTGCTCTGACCCCAGCTTAGACCTGGCTACTGCAGGCATTTAGGAAGGGGACCAGCAGCAGGGAGCTCTTCCCCCGCCCTTTATTTCTCTTTATTTTTGCCTCTCAAATAAAAAGAGAAAAATTAAAAGTAGGTGAGTACTGGCCTAACACACAGAAAAAGCACTGTACTGAACTGGAAGGTACTTTGTGATTGACCTATAGAAGAAACATCTGCAAAGGCAGTACAGCACGGTGGAATGAGCACCACAGAGACAGGAGACCTAAGAAATCCACAATTCTTTACTAGTCACCTGATCTTGAGTAATCCAACTTCACTGGACTTAATTTCATCACCTGAAATTCAGTGTCGTTAATTATATTCATCCTGCTTCCCTCAGAGAATTGGTTGGAATCCAGGTAAGTTAAAAGTCTTAGCCGGCGCTGCGCCTCAATAGGCTAATCCTCTGCCTGCGGTGCCGGCACACCGGGTTCTAGTCCCGGTTGGGGAGCCGGATTCTGTCCCGGTTGCCCCTCTTCCAGGCCAGCTCTCTGCTGTGGCCCGGGAGTGCAGTGGAGGATGGCCCAAGTGCTTGGGCCCTGCACCCCATGGGAGACCAGGAGAAGCACCTGGTTCCTGGCTTTGGATCAGCGCAGTGCGCCAGCCGCAGCGGCCACTGGGGGATAAACCAACAGAAAAAGGAAGACCTTTCTCTCTCTGTCTCTCTCTCTCTCTGTCTCTCTCTCTCACTGTCCACTCTGCCTGTCCAAAAAAAAAAAAAAAAAAAAAAAAAAGCCTTTCAGGGGCCGGCACTGTGGTGTATGCAATAAATATGTGGCGCTGGCATCCCATGTTGGTGTTGGTTTGTGTCCCGGCTGCTCCTTTCGATCCAGCTCTCTGCGGATAGCCCAGGAAAGCAGTGCAAGTACCAGCGTGGGAGACCCTGAGGAAGCTCCTGGCTGCTGCCTTCCAATTGGCCCTGCTCCAGCCATTGTGGCCATTTGGGGAGTGAACTAGCTAGCGTATGTCTCTCCCTGTCTGTAACTCTACCTCTCTCAAATAAATAAATCAAATCTTTCAAAACCATAAAGTGGTCAGTATTGGTGTGGTTGGACTTCGTAACAGGGTAGACAAAACAAAGACAGATGACTCTTTATCTGGGGGTTCAAACTGACTGGGTCTACAGGTCTGAAAGGAACCAAGACAGCCAGGAACACTCCTGTTCTTTTCTGTTTTCTGCCCAGCAGTGGATAAACCTCATTATTCCTGTTCCTTAAAAAAAAAAAAACAATTTACTCTGACCTCTTAACTATGAAGACAAACAACTCGTTTGTCTTTTGGAAAACACAGCAGTTGAAAAATATAAAATATCAATGATTATGTTTCTACAACTGGGACGGCTTCACTCTTCTTTCCTGAAAGGAGTTAAGGTTAGATTAGTTTCCTTAGGGTTTGAGAAATCCAAAAGGCCACATATTGATGCTTTTGCTTTAAGCAGATTAAATCATGGGTTTTGCTCAGTCACCTTTCAAAATTCTGTTGACTGCTTGAAAAATAGATGCCTTTAACTTGTTTAAATTCAAATTTATTAATGAACTATGATGAAAATGCAAAGGTGAAGAGTAACAACAGCAAATGAGACAGACTGATTGGCCTTTGTGACAGCTGTCTCTAGAGATGGCCTGTAAAGCTTCACAAAGACCTTCACTTAAGGAAAAAACAAGAAGAAACCAATTAAAATCTTACCAAGAATTCATGACAGCTTCATGAGTTCTTAGATCTAGTAGTAAGAAATAATCTTATTTCTCATTACAATCAAAGTTTGCAATGGACAAGGAATTAAAAACACTTGGGAGATTTAAAAAATTCTATTTACTAATGGCTTGTGTGCCTGGAAAGGTGGACAGGGAAGTCACCCCTCCAGATTTGTATAGCATCACTTATATAATACAATGGTGATCACGCAATAGATACAACTTTTGTCTTTGAATTCTCATGAAACGTTTGATTTCCAAATACGTTTTTGGAACACTCTGATTCTGCATCTTTCTCTGTGAGTGGGGGTCTTCAGCACTGGGCTGTTTCTGCAGTGCAGGCACCTGCGGCACTGTAAACCCTGTAAGAAGATGGTACCAGGATGCTAAGCAATGGTGCCTACTTAGTCATTTCTGTCAGTTCTGCTGACACTTAGAAAAGAGGCAAGGGCTTGTGCTACCTGGGACAATCCGATGTACCACAGGGAAGGTTCTATGCGAGACACACGGATACTCTGCTCTCTAAGTTTTGTGTCTGAGCATCTGTTTTATGTGCTCTCCGCACAAAAACAAAGTAACTCCCAAAGCCACTCAGCAACCTTTGGTTTGGAAGTTATTTGCTGATGTTGTAGAGAAGACATGAGAAAGAGAGAAAGAGAAGACTGGAGTTTGGATTCTTTCCCCCACCCAAACTTCCTGAATGGTTTTAACTCATGGTGCCCCGGGCAGAAT